GGGCAGATGACTCCTTATGCTTTCGAATCGATCTCGTGGTACTTTGATGTCATACACAGATCGTGCAGCCCCGCTTCAAGTCGAACACACCTAATATGTATTTGTATTTGCATTGCTTTGCCTGTTCTCTGTAGATCCCACCTTCTTATGTGCCACGATTAGTCGATTATGTACAATGCCTGCATGTTATTGGTCAAACTACTTTTCAATTACTACCTTCAGCAAGTACAAAAACAGGAAAACAATGCCAAAACCTGGATATTTTAGGCAATATAGAAATTCTGGCCAGGACGTGTCTGAGAAAAAGAGCATGCATGGTCACCCTATTTAAAAGTGCAAAGTGTATCTTCAGCAGCCATTACTCCTGTGATGGCAAAGCTGAATTTTTAGAAGCTATTACTCCAGTTTTCAGTGTCACATGATCCTTCAGAAATCATTCTAATATGCTGTTTTAGTGCTCAAGAAACATTTCTTCTTATTATCATGGTTGAATCTTTTGTAACATTATATTTTTCTTAACAATATATTTTCGTATCAAATTCTCACAGTAATGTAAAATGTATAATGTCTCAATGAAACAAAAAGGGTCAAAATAAAGGCTTTAATTTACTCATTGCAACTCATTTCCACAAGTTTGGAGAGAAATATCCTGCCATATCTGTCCTGTCTTGTTCATTTTAAGATTAAACCAAATAATATAACAGCATAAAATATTTAATTCTAACTGTAACAATCAAACATCTTGAAAACATAAAACAAGTCCTGGCTTGTTGATGGGAGGACCAGGTGGCCCCTTTAATCTGGGTGTGCCCCAGTTTCTGCCTGCCTGCTTGTGCTCCACTGCCTCAGACATTGTCCCAGGAGGATTACAGGCCCACAGGCTCACTCACATGGCCCTACTATGTCTTAATCCACACACTCAAACAACAAAGCAATGCTTCTTTGTAGTACAATCTTCTCACTGTACTTGGACTAGGTTTTGTGTGCTGTGGTCTCACCTGCTGGTAGAGCAGGGCAGCAGGCCGGGCTGTTTTAGCAGGTCCCAGGACTCCTGGCGCTCTGCTCTCCCACTCACTGGCAGAGAGGTTGTGCTTCCCATACGCCCCCCATGATCTGTCAATCTGATAAAGAGTCAGACAGGCATTGCTATCCATCATTCACATCATTACTAAAAATAATAATTTTTAATAACTATCATACAACAAATATCTGTGCCCATGTTATCTGTGCACAAGTTTTACAAGAAGACACAAATATATCATACCTGGCTGCTGCTTCCTGTAGGTTACAGTTCTTGTCTGGAGCCAGTCCAAGCTCATCTCTACAATCCTAAACAAAGAGATGAACCTTTCCAAACATATACAAGCACTTTGCATTTCAGTATACCCGACATATACCTTCAGTCTACCTGTCCCACTTCAGTATACCTGACATTAACATGTTGATGTCGTAAGCCAAGTATGTAGTCATTAAATCACAAATCCTCCCTTTGAGGAAGACGAACAGCCAACTGTCAAGTTGCTGAATACCTTGAGCGCTGCCTCTGCCTGAGCTTTCAGGACGTTGCTCTTGAGTTCATCTTGAGCTTTGAGCTGGTTCAGAACAGGACTGCTGCTCACACTATTCAAACTTTTTTCTGTTATTTTTACCACTTCCTCCTGCACAAAAAACCAAAGCATGTTAGCATCAAACATTAAATGTGTAATGATTATGATTATACTTAAATATATAGGCCAGGCTGAAATAATCATCAGCTCTTTATGGGAAAAGACCTTACATGATACTGAGCTGGAAAAGATACAGAGATCAATGACTGCAGTAATAGCACGAGTAATCATCTTCCCAATTAATATTACATTTAAAGTACATCCTCAGGCTGGAGTGACACAGTGGCCATCACAATCTCTGCACCTTGTATTTAAAGTCTATGTCAAGCTTTAATAAGATGCAGTGTGTGTGGAGGGGGGACATATTGCAAAAACACCATTTACAAAAAGCTTTGCTCTCAGTGTGTGCAGGGCTTCCGGTTGGCTGAACTGACCTGGTTATTCATGTTGAGGTTGACATTGGTTCTGGCTGGAGCAGACACTGGAGTGTTTTCAATCTCTAGTTGCTTGAGCCGAGCTGCAGCCTCTGTAGATGAGAACAGTGAGCATCATTAAACAATGAGAGGTCAGACAAGACAGATGGAAACACATCTGCATGTGTGGGGATTAAACCATGTTCCCTCTGGGGATAATCGGTTCACACGATGGAAAGGCAGAGTGTGAAAATACTGTAACTGTACAGACAATGATCAAATAATAAATAAAAAAGTTGTACTTTGTTTCATAAAAGCATGTAGATGTTACAATTGTTTTCTTATTTTATATGAAAGAGATGATGAATTTAAACATATACCCATTATAAAAATATACATTTATATACCAAATATACACTACCATTCAAAAGTAAAGGGTTGGTAATTGGCTTGCTGCGGTAGTCAGTGTTACCGGTATTACCGGTGTTCGGCCACACATCGAATAGATTACTTAGCCACCGCGGTACTGCCCCACTGTTGTTTTGCTTTTTTTATAGAAATAAAAACCATTTAGTTCAGTTGGACAACAGACGCTACAGTTGTAAACTGAAAGTTCGCGCTGCAGAGCCGCAGCACAGTGCAGCAAAAGTCAGATTTCACTGGTCACGTGAAGAGAGTGATAGAGACACTTTCAGTATGAGCGCTTCAGGTGTATACGAGCGCGAAGGTGCACGCAGAAAAAATGACACAAATACTGAGAAAACGATGGTGGATGGAGGCTTTGGTTTTCAAGAGAAATGTAAAAGTAAAGTAAAAGACCGCTTCTCAAACCAGAGAGGGTGAGCATCAGGGCTCTACGCTTACTTTTCTTTTTAGGAGCACTTGTGCTCCTAACTTAAAAAATGTAGGAGCACGTTCAAAATTTTAGGAGCACCTTCTAAACAATTATCCAAAATGTTATCAAAAAGTAGCCTTCCCATTACGAGGTGATATTTGACTCCTCTAACTTTATTAAAAGTATGTCATCATTATATTTTATAAGGTTTTTAAAAATTTTAATTAAAACGTCAGAATAACAACAAGTAGAATAAGAAATATAAGTTACCAATCAAATTAAATCCGTATTAACAAAATTAATTTGTAGAGGTGGCACAGAAAAACACAAAAGTGGTTTATGAATGGGTAATCATGAATCACTGACTCACTAGATTCGTTTAAAAAACTCACGTTCATTCATAAACGAAACACCGCTGTGTTTGAATGGAGATGAGCAGCGGCTGAGCTGTGACTTTGTTTAAAACTATTTTCAACGACGAAATAGAGCAAAATCAGACTATAGTGTTATAGTCAGACAATGTAAGTCACTTAATATTAACTTATTGTTTATTGAATTGTATTGTATTAAATCAGTATCACATTTACAAACTCCTTTAAAAATCATTAAAAGCTGGCACTCATCTTAGTTCATCTCGATCTCACATCTATAATCAGCGAAGCTCTCTACACTGCGCAATGAATCTCTCACTTTGCTTATGAAAGGATTCGTGAGATATGTCTGTGATACATTACTCAACGCTGCAAAAACACGTAGAAACATTTGAAGCTCCCCTGAGCGCAATCACAAGTATGATGATGATCGGGTCAGTCGCACTGGTGCTCCTAAAAAAAATGTTTATAGTCGCTCGCAGTAGTTTTCAGTCGCAAATGCGAGACGCACTGTAGAGCCCTGAGCATGTTGTTTTCCTGACAATAAAACATGCCAGCACTGTCACAGAAAGCCAATTTAGTTTAAATTTTCTTTTTGTTTTCATTTTGAAAATCCTGTTGTCTTTGCTGTTTACCTGATGTTAAGCTACAGATGCTTTTTTTTGTTCGCTAAACTTTTTATCATTTATTAGTTGATATACAATACAGCATGTGGTGTGTGCCATGACTCGTCTTATTAATTTTCATTACTAAACATTATATAAGCTTGTTTGTCATTGTACTGTTGTATTGTTGTTGTGCTTTTCATTAAGAATACAAATGAATCCATCTTGCAAACATTTATATGTTTATAATATTATAACATTATTATTACATTATAATATTTTAGTCTTGGAAAGTGAAAGGAGTAAAGATGCAAACGCAACAGACAATTATCTTTTCTTGTAAAACCAAGATCATTTTATACATTTTAAAATGTAATTTATTCCTGTGATGTCAAAGCTGAATTGTCAGCAGCCATTACTCCAGTCTTCAGTGTCACATGATTCTTCAGAAATTAATTTAATATGCTGATTTGGTGCTCAAGAAACATTTCTAATCATCAATGTGATCAGGTTGTGCTGCCTATTATTATTGTGAAAATCATGATACTTTTTTTTCTCCATGATTCTGAATAGTTCTTATTTGTCATCTTTGATCAGTTTAAAGCTTCCTTGCTAAATAAAAGTATTAATTATTTAATTTCTTTAAAAATGTTTTACTGTCCCAAACTTGTGAATGGCAGTTATGTGGGGTGGTACTGGCCAATACCGTTTGATTTATTATTTTGAAGTGGAGTATCCTGGAAGCAGACAATATTAGGGTTTACTTTTGACCCACTTCAACTTATATACTCTTTCTGTGCCAGGCTACAAAAGCACATTTATAATGTATATTATAAAATTGTTTGGATGCCCAATTTTGCTTTTGAAACATTTATAATTGTTGTGAACAAATTAAGTTATTAGGATATAAAAAAATTCAGCAAGACAAACGTTGTCCAAAATTTCTGCCAGTGCATCCCACTGTATCTGTGATGTATTAACTCACCGGTCAGAGAGAGGGTCTCCTCTGTGGCTATGCTGGCAGTGGTATGAGCAGAACCTGGTCCCACTTCTTCTGCTGTTACCATGGGAACAGGGACTCGAAGAACCTCATCTATGAATGTCTCCAAGAGGTCAGTCACCAAGGGTATGCTGTGAAGGATGAAAGGGTTTATTACCATCTGTCAATTACAGGATGTAACCCCGTATGTGCTGCTCAAACAGAGTCCACATTGATAGATATATGACAAATGTGACTCACCTGGACAAAAATGCTTGAGGCCGGGCCAAGACTCAAGTTACAGCTATGCAATAGCACAGTATCACGTTTAAAATATGTGACAGTTTCAGATGGGTGTTGGGCGATGGTTGGGCAATGAATATGCATTTCTATATGTGATGTACTGCATGACCATAATAATCAAAATAATGAAACCTTTATAATCAAAAATGAGCAGAGACACAGGCATTACTGAAGAACTTCACACCAAAGGAATGGAACCGTTATCTAATGGAGTCATATGCCAACTGACCGCACACATTCCACTAGATCTAGATTGAAAGACCACACACATGCACATTAGTGATGCCTGTACTAGAATCACAAAAAGCGATGTATTCCTTCCCTTCCTAAGTGAAAAGAGGGAGGGAACAGTCACATTCCATAAACGGCTAGAACGAGATTAAAACTCAAAAGGCTTAATTTTGGACATGTCACTCCTCGCCACACTGACTAAACCCACTTTGCACTTTACAGTATTCAGTGTCTGTATAAACTCAGTAAAAATAAAAAAATAAAAAACCTTCCAGCTTGAGACAAGACAAAGTTCATAATTTACAGAAATGCATAGTAAAAACCTAAAGAGAAACTGAAACATACAATGGGGAGTTGCTTCTGTTTGTTAATTTTAATGAATTGTCTTAACGCCATGCAAGATACATCTGTCCTTTGGTTATAGTTGAACTGTAGATAATCTAAAAACAGTGTATACTGCACTACACATTGTCAACTGGATGAAAAAGTCAATAATCAGATAATTCTGATCACACACTGAAATAAAATATATAATTATAATGGCACTTTCCACAAATATGTTTCCCTACTCCCTAAAAGCACAAATCCAATGTTCTTATGAAGAAAAATATTTATTTTCAATTTATATGAAATAGTCTACCCAAAAAGAGTCCCAACTTAGGTAGGACTGTCTGTTACCCAACTTTGTTGTTTTAGTTTTTCTTTTAAAAATGCTTGTTTAATGTTTATTACTAAAATAACAAAATCAAATCTCATACAACATTTAGCTTGGCTTCTTGAAATACAAACAATATTTTCTAAATGTCATGTACTTCCTTTCACTGAAAATACTTCATTTTTAAGAGTTTAATGCCTTACTTTGTTCCCTATTTGTAGAAAATGTCTAATATCTTTGTTTCAAATGTATAGTAAAAGTGTGGTTATGATGATCAAGGCATAACTTAAATGTTTAATAAATAGCTAAAATAAATGTCAACAGGATATTTCCTGGGTGACGAAGCTGGCTGAATAATGACCAAGTCGTTCTCATCGAAAGTACAGCCACAGTAAGGATTTCAGGCTTCTCCCATGAAGGTTATCTCATCTCTCTGGCTGGTTTCAGTCTCGGAAGGGAAGGCCACAGAATGCTTGAATGGTTCAAACGAGGGGAAGACTTTAGCCCAGGTAGTTTCACTTGAACTCAGTCAGAGAATATGCCTTTTATCCCGGCGTTCCCTGGCACTGTTTGTATCCGAAGAATGCGGGGGTGGAGGGGCTGTGGCAGCATCCGTGTATGAAAGGAGGTGCAGGGGAGGGGCTGTGGCAGCATCCGTGTATGAAAGGAGGTGCAGGGAGGTGCCTGTTGGTCACACTGGTGGGATTGAGGGGGGGGAGTGAAGCCTGGATGGGTCAGTGGAGGAGGGGGGAGTGTTAGCATGAAGGACAGGAATACTGTAGAGTCTGATGTGCAAAAGTCGAAAAAGGGTAGGCAACAAAGAGAGCAGATCACAGGACAAGAGTAAAAGTAAATATAAAGAATAGAGTAAAAAAAAAAAAAAAAGGAAGCATTAGTTAACTGCATGCAAATGTTTCCTGAACCACTATTCAGCATCTTTCTTCATTCCTCATTGCATTCAACAATGAACACATGATTCACATAATTTAAATTAATTTCAACTACTGAGCAAATAACACAATGTAAGAAAAATTGTTTCACTTAAATGTTTTATGTTTCTTCTGTAATTATGTGGTGATAATTATTATTGTACTATTTATTTTCACATAGCATTAACATTTTATTAAATATTTAGGTCAGGTAAATTGTTGTTAGCTCAGTATTATGCATGTACCATGTAATTTTTATGCATGACTTATAAAAGATTAGCTTGTATAAGTTGTCAACACATTTTTTTTAGTTTTCATGAGCACTGTAAATTATACACAAAAAGTAATGTGATTTTCATATTCAGCATGTCAAAATTCATACTTTAATAAACTTTTGTTTCACAGTGTAATTAGTAGGGCTGTGCGATATTGGGAAAAAAAAAGCGATATGCGATACCTTGTTAAAAAATGCGATATTCGATATGCGACACGATATTGCTTAAAGTGTAAAAAACTAATTAAATTATATTTTAAAATATTTAAAAATGAAAATGATATAACCAATTTGTTTCACATTCTTTCTTGGAAAAGAAAGAATCACTACAACTTCAGAAAGTGACCAGCAGTGTTTTAGCAGCAAGGTTATTATAGTTTTGAATTTTTAAATTAGTTTTATTTTAATATCGTTTTCAAATTTGCTATACAATTCAGTTTAATTTTTATTAGTTTCATTAATATTGTTGTTAGTTTTAGTTTAGTTTTTATTTTGTGAACACATTTTTATTTCGTTTTTATATAGTTTAGTTTCAGTTTCAGTTTTAATTAAAGGTTAGCAGAATTAACAGATCACTTTAGAGCGCAGGCCAAAGAAAGACTTAGGCATAATTTAGCCTTAGTGAAGCAAATGTCTAGCGACACAAAATTAACGCATGCTGAGATTGATTAAATGGTAAAAGTATACAAATATACGCCAAAATGAAGCAGTCAAGCCTTTTTACTAAATAAATCTACACAAGTTGTGCTTAATGTCATATCTAATGATGTGTATTGAGATATTTAATATGACAATAAATGTAGCCTAATTTGGTTATGATGGTTAGATGTCTTTTTTCTTTTTTAACAATCATAATATATTGTAACTGTCGTGTCTTGCTCACTTTTCCGTGAACAACTGCGCATAAATCATAACTGGGACTAATGAAATTCAATAATAACGGCAATCGTATTAAGGCTCATATCTGAATATGTTCTTTTCATTTATTAAGAATTGTAAGCGTGTTTATGATGTGATTTAGCCTATGCACATTTGTCCGAAAGCCTGGCAGAGTGATCACAAGATGCTATGCTAAAGTTTTGTATTATTTTCAGAAAGGATGCGCGTTCTCGTCTTTTTTTCTGTTAATTATTGCGTTGCGCTGTGTGTCTGTTTTTCTTCAAAGCACCAACTTAGAATGCCTAATTTGGTTTGCTTGCTTGTGCTACATGAGAAAATAAATAATTTTGCCTACCTGATGTAATAGATTTAATGCGGGTGCGGTTCGCGACTTGCAGTCTTTGTCAAACGGGTCTGGTCTGGTACAGAATTAAATTAGTGCCGCTGTCAGATATCGGGTCGGGTGTTCTCTTAAGTACTGCTGGTGCACGTTTACCAAACAGGACCAGTGCAGGACTCCGCTTTAAACTGCTCTGCGTCTCTCCATAAGATAACCTCACGTGCGCGATGCGCCATTTACAGGTATTTCCCTAAACCGCCGGCGCCACA